ATTCTTTTAACACCATAGGTGTTTTTTGGCAAACTTGTACCTTCTAGTAATACCTCATTCAANTTTTTTAGTTTGTCGCCAGAGTTAGCGACGAATTTTAACAAATTGTCACATAAAATCAAACGCGACATGCCTACCGCGACGATCATAGCGACGATTTTTTTTCGTCGCTAAATGTATACCGCCACAATTTCTAGGTTTTTAGCAACAAAAAAATTCGTAGCTAAAAGCCCTTTTTGTTGTAGTGGTGGCTACGTACTGGCTAAGGATAATTCTTTATTTTATAGTAAAGATTACATCATATGAAACCCAGATAAGACGATCTTAACTATCTCTACAGCTTGAAGCAAGAGAACCCCAATAGAAACTGCCACGCTCAGGGCCATAATAACTGTCATCCCTAACACAAAACCTGGCCTTTTATTCATCAAATAATTCTGCAACCACCCCATTGTTTCGCAAACATCCTCATTGTAGTGCACATAATATGTCTTTTCTCACTGCGTCCAATTCGAAGGCGGTTCGTAATTTGCCTCCAACAGTTTCTTCTCCTGAATGCACATTCGTGGCACAATCATGTTCTCATCCACCAACCTTCCCTCATAATCTCGTCCTTTCCACCCTTTACTCGCACCCATGCTTATGACATAGGGCTTCTTTGAGTTGTTCTTTCGACATGGCAACAAGGAAGAAACTCCACGATGGTAAGAAAGATTACTGGTGGAGGATAGGAACTTGGATGCTTCCATTCTTGAAGATAGTTAGGAGCTAGCTAGCTCAAGTAACCATTATTTATAGTGGCGTAGAAGCACAGTTGTGTGGTAATTGTTAAATAATGAAACTGTGTCAACAGCCAAGAGAAGATGTGGTACCATTACTGGGCATGTATTTGCACAATTGCGGCGGCTTTTCTAGGATGGAAACGTGGTGGAGTGTGCTTCGTTTCTCTTTTTAAAGTTAAATTTTAGGTGGAAATTAGAAATCAATCATAAAATAAATGCCACCAAATATAAACAAAAGATTATCAATGTTTATTGGTTTCCATATTCCCATAGTGAAGGTAGCCTCTCTATGTTTATAATGATCTCTTTCACTTTCAATTAAGCATCATTATATTTAGTTATTTTAACGGCAATTAATATATCTAATTATATGATTTTATGATTAAAAAATTTATATCCTTAAATAGGAAATTGAGAGAAAACATGACAAGGTCACAAGTAGAGGTGGGCATTTGGGACTAGGTCCAAAAATCCAGCCCAAAACCTCGGTCCTAGGAGGCTTAGTCCCAAAACAGGACCAAGCCTAAGGAAGAGGGCCCGATCCCTCCACTGGGCCCTCCTCCAAGGCCTGAGCCTGGACCCAAATTTTTTTACATATTTTTGTTTTAGTCCCTTGTATAATTCTATAAAACTTCCTATAAATTTTGAAATAAACATAAATTATAGGGGTTAAAAGGAAATTTTATAAAATTTATTTAAAAAAAAATTTCCAAGCCTTGAAAAATTTATAAATTTTACTCCTGAAAAATTACTAAAAACCCCTTACAAAATTTTGTTTCGCCCCTAGAATATAAAAAAAGATCAGAGGGAAAAAGAAATTTTCCAGGTCCTAGGACCTGTCCTGGGCCCATAGGACCAGTCCTAAGGACCGGTCTAAGTCCTAGAATTGCTTCCGATTCTAGGCCCATGGAACCAGTCCCAAACGGGCCCAGGCCTGGGCCTGCTTGGGACTGGTCCTTGACCAACTCTAGTCACAAGAAGCAGAGGAGAATTGATGGTGATTTACAGTTCAAAGCATTAAAAAACAAAAAGTTGATTTGGCAACAATAATACAAATTGTACAGAAATGTTGCTTGGAAAGGTTGGAATATCGGTAAGGTAATATATAAAGTCAAACTTAACATGAAGCACAGTATATCTAGTATTATTTTTATTTTATATTGTATAAACTCTTACATAAAAATTACTAAAACAAAAAATAATAGATAAAATGATATTTAAAATAAAAAATAAATAGATAAATGATATAATAATATAATAATATAATAATAAAAGAATAACCAAGTGTATATTGCATAAAATTAAGTGAATATTAGCAAGTGTGTTTTTAAGTCAAAGAGATTTGTGCAAATCATAAACTTCGAACGTGAACAACAAGACCAAAGAGTCAGAGCATGCATGACACGACTGGTCACTAATTTTCATGTCACTAATTTATAATATAGATGGTTCAATCATTTTATATAAAACTTGTCAATATCATGATGAAGTTCACGTCAAATAATGCAGCAGAAAAATAAGGATGGGAATGAGTATTTCAATTCAGGAGATAATGTAATCAGATGTGGACGAATAATATATTAAAAGATAATACAATTTACGGAAAATGTTGCACTGTCATCGTTTCTACACTCACAATCTCTTCTTATAAATTTGATATAATAGTTTATAATTCAATTTATAATAAATCTTACATAGATCTTACTTAATACATTACAAATGACTAATTATAAATTGTTATATCANGCTGAGGTTGGAGATTGTGGTGGCTAGGGTTTCAAAAATTGAAAGGAAATTGTGGAAGAATTTTAGGGTTTCTGATTTAGAATAAACTGAAATTGATTTGGGATGTGGGTTTTACCGTTTTAGCGCAAATGGGAAATTTGAAATTTAGGAGTTTGCAATTTTTTTTTTTTTTTTTTTTTTTGAAAAACGTAGGGGTAAGTGACGTGGCAGATGAGGTGGCACTGCCATGTCATCTGCCACGTCATGATGTAAGAGAATGAAGTAAAAATATGGTGTAACCCTAGCATTACTGCTATTTTAACTAGGCAATCCTCTTGAGTCAAAAATGGACTGGCTGAATTGTGAGATCACAATAAGATTGAATTTTAGAGATCATTAATTAATTTATTGTGAACACCGTCCAATCACACCGCCGATTAATGAAATATTGCGGCTTCACAATACAAATAGTCAGACACACGTGTTTGCCGTAAAATCAGAATTCTTATCTTAGAAATTCTCAAATTCAATACTTCGTACAAATTCAATACTACGAAGAAGTCAAGCCAGAGATAATTAGATAGGCTTCTTTACTTGACGAGATCGAAGTGCCAAACACGTGTAGCCGACTATATATCCACATGCATCGTTGTTTATTAGCCCTTGAAAAAATAATTACAACCAGACTAGCTACCTCAATGACGAAGAGAAATTCTATTCAAGGTTGGGCTGAGTGCGCATAAACAAATGTCTATTGGAATCAGGATTAACGAACGTTGATTATCATATCTTTATTATATATGTATAGTATAAATATTTATATATATGTTGAAGGTATACTGACTTGATCACCAGAGAATATCAAGCACTAATGGCAATATATGTATAGTATCCTATCTTTATTATATATGTATAGTATAAATATTATTCCATGATCAGTTATTTCTACTTGTTTTGCAGGTAATATTTATCATGAGAATTGTAAGTTGTTGTAATGTTATTATCACAGAGAAAGATGTAAGGTGTTATGCTTAAAAAATCAGGGCTGACATAAGCTTACATCCGCGAGCACCAATCAGAGTTAAGGAAGGCTTTGCGTCACCTAGAATATGCCAAGTCGCCCCAAAACAGAAATAATATAGTCGTCATTAACTCAACCGACTCATGTTTTGTCTGTGAATAAATTTGGTTTGCACATCTATCCAAACCCCATATAATTTAAAGATATTTCCTAAGTTGTCAACCAATGAGATGCAAGGAAAGACTTGCACGGCACCTACCCACTTGAAGACTTATAATCATTATCTTGAACTCAGCGACTATAAATAGAAGCCTCCCCTCACAAAATCGAGATCAAACTCTCTGAATTCAACAAAACAAATAGCAAAGACAACATACGGGAAAAAGATTGGCTTAATATTCGCTATGAATACCAAGTTCTTGTAATTCTGTTTGCTGTTCATGACCTCTTGTAACTTGGCTAATCACCAAGAACACTCATATAAAAGAAAACAGTGGATATAGAAATCGCTTTAAGTATCCGAACTACTGTAAAAATTTTCATCGTCTCCTTTATATTAAGTCTTTGGATGCTACTGTGACCTTTAACCAAATCCCTTAATTAATCACGCGTAATTTTTAAGACCTTCTTAGCAATTTGCACGTACGAGATCGTTGGTGTCAAAATCATACATCAACATAAGGCTACTTAAATGGCTGTCTTTGGATCATGTAAATGGAGAAAATTAAATTAATGATGACATTATCGAATATAAATTAAATAGCAGCAAATTAAAACCCGCAATTAGACATTATAATGTGAAAAATTCGAGTGGAAACTTGAGAAATTTGCGCGGAAGATGTATGATTAGCCATTGAAAAGGTTGTGATTAAGGTATAGTTATCTTGAGAATTTAATAAATCTTACCAGCCGAGGGTCTTTTTTAAGAATAAACGTGTTTAATGGCTTAAAATCGACTCGTGCAGGTCATCATAGTGTAAAAATGGTGGCCGGTTAGCTAGAGAGTACAGTTCTTTGAAACGGTAATTTCTGCTAACAAAATATTTTGTGTTAGCTCGCCGCAACTTATTATTGATTTCCTAAGTCTGCCAAATCAAAACCTTCTTTTAACTTTATCTTCACATATAATTATATATAAATATATACTGAGTTGCCTTAAACAGCAAGAGCAAATGTTTTTGCTACAAATGATTCGTATTCGAACACTTCAAGGCAAATTTTTTTTATATTGAATGGGTCGATGGAGTTGTAGAAAGTACACTGGGTCATAATAAACTTTAGAAAGGAACAGGTCTCAATTTTTGTGATTGAAGAAGATTTCAGTATAACAGTGACCCACGCTGTGCATATTGAGAGAAGGATCAATAAGTTCAACTTCAGCATGGAACACTTAAACATAACCATATCGTAGCTAGTAAAGGGCCTAAAGGCTAAGGATAGTTCTATATTTTAGGGAAAATAAATACTAAAGATTACATCAAATGGAACTCAAATAAGATGATCTTAGCCATCTCCACAGCTTGAAAAAAGAGTACCCCAGTAGAAATAGCCACACTCAGCGCCACCACAGCTATCATCCCTAACGCAAAACCTGGCCTAATTTTCTTCAAATAATTCTGCAACAACCCCATTGCTTCACAAACATCTTCATTATAGTGCAGATAATATTTCTTTTCCCACTCCATCCAATTCGAAGGCGGATCACGACTTGCCTCCAACAGTTTCTTCTCCTGAATGCGAATTCGCAGCACAATCATGTTATCATCCACCAGCCTTCCCTCATAATCTCGTCCCTTCGATCCTCCACTCGCGCCCATGCTTAAGATATAGGGCTTCTTCGAGTTGTTCTTTCGACATGGCGACAAGCAAGAAACTTCATGATGGTGACGAAGAGTAGAGGTGGAGGATAAGAACTTGGTTGCTTCCATTCTTGAAGATAGTTAATTACGAACTGGTAGCTCCATGTAACCATCATTTATAGCGGCGTAGATAAGCAGTTGCGTGTTAAAATATGAAACTTAGATGGCAAGCGGAAATTGGAAACCGTGTCGATGAGAAGACGTGGACGTGGTGTAATTACTGGGCATGTATTTGCACAGTTGCAGTGGCTTTCCAAGGAAGGAAACGTGGCGGGCGTGTGCTTTATTGCTTTTACAGTAAACTTTTAGGTGGGAGAACTTTTAGTCGGAAGTCTTCAACGACTTAAAGGAAGCAGAATTGGGAGAGAATATGACAAAAAGGAGAGAAAAATTGATACTAATCTGCGGCTGTGAGCTTTAAAAAAAGTTGGTATGGCAAGAATAATACAAATTGTACAGAAATGTTTATACAGAGAGAAGGAAGATGAAAGAATACAGGTATACTAATATGTAAAGTCAATCTCAATATACGTATAACTAGTATTATTTTATATAGAAAATATATTATATACGAATTTTTATGCACAAATTGGCCCAAACAAATATATGGTTAAAGAGATATAAACTTACTAAATATCGATATAATGATAAAAGAATAGTACCAAATCAATTTACATATAAAAAATATGATTATTGGTCTGACGTGGATTCAACTTAGTAATATAAATGAATTTGGTGACCACTGACCGTCAAGCATCAAACGAAAGAGAGCATGCATGAATCACGATGTTGCTCACCAATTTCTTTTCAATTATATTACTCTATCTAATCACACCATCAGTTTCTATATATATATGTATTGTCTCTAATAGTGTACAGAATACGGTTCAATGATTTTACAGAAAATTTGGCCAATATCATAAGCTAATGTCAAATAGAGCAGAAAAATATAAAATTCATTCGATCTCTTTATCATCAATCTACACATGTTAGAGTATATGGATGTAATATGGATGGAAATGAGTATTTCAGGAGGTAATAAAATAAGATTTGGACGCATAATATTTTAATAATCTAATAGATTTTACTTCGACGAGACAAATTAAACACACTGTCTCTTGGAAATTAACTTTTATCACTTTTTTGACAAATTTTATTTCCAAATTAACAAAGAGCTTCAGCCGAACTTGAATGAAGAGGGTGCTTACTGCTTAGAGTTAGAAGTTTATTAATTATTTTAAATTAAAGTCTCCATATTTAGCATCTTTCCCGAGCCCTGTGGAGAGGCGCATGCAAGATACAACCTGAGAAATGGTTTCCAGGTTGAGTATTTTGGTTCCCTTCTAAGTTTTAAACTGATTAAATAAAGGGAGAAATGATAGCTATATATTGTAAGTGGCTGTTTCTACATTAACAATTATTACCAAAATTCAATTACTTGAATGGCTCTTTCTACATGTTTTACAATGAAAATAAAATTTTATACCGAAGACGAACTTACATGGTAGCTAATTAATATAAACCCGGAAACTAAACATTAATTGTCAAAAATTCATGCAGAAACTCGTGATTAGCTTCTGAAAATATTTAAAGAATAGATCTTAACTACAGGGTTTTTGTCAAGAAGATAGAAATGTGTTTACAACTTTACATTCATCGGTGCAATTGAAATGTAGAAATATTTCTCCGTGTCTTTAATTCTTATATTTTTAAAGTTATCTTGACCGGCTGCAACTTTCACAGGGAAAAGACACAAAAACTAATATAATGGCACAGGAATTATTCCAGAGGATTTGAACTTTAAAGTGACGGCCTAGCGGGTTCAATGCACCAAGAATAAAACGTAAATAATATACCCATACTATTCTTACTTACAATATGTATAACTCAACTTTTCCTTATATTTAAATAATTCACTTAATATTGTAATATTTGTTTACTTAAAACTATAATTTGAATCATAGAATAATAGAAAAAATAATATGGAAAAATCTGATTAATAGCCATTAGAGCTTCACATTTAAACTTGATTAAAACCCATCGTTGGATAGTTTAAATGTTATGATAGGTGTTAATATGTGTGGTTAAAGTGTACAGTTTCAGGTTTGAATTCCTCTAGTTTTCAAGATTTAAGTGAGGGACTATAACGATAGATTGTTATGTTAATACTTTTCGATAATTAGTTGAAATACACATAAACTAATTCAAATACCTCGGTTATCACAATATATATATATATCTATATATATATATATATATCTATATATATATATATATATATAGAGAGAGAGAGAGAGAGAGAGAGAGAGAGAGAGAGAGAGAGCTGGTCAAGGACTAGTCCCAAGCAAGCCCGAGCCTGGGCCCGTTTGGGACTAGTCCTTTTGGGATTGGTCCCAAATGGGACCAGTCGCTCATGGTCCCAGGCCCATGAGCAATTTTAGGATCCGGACCGATCCTATGGGCCTGAAACTTTCTTTTTCTCCCGTGATCTTTTTTTATATTTTAAGGGCGAAACAAAATTTTGTAGGGGGTTTTTAGTATTTTTTAGGGGTAAAATTTATTAATTTTATTAACTTTTCAGGCCTGGAATTTTTTTTTTTTAATAAATTTTGTAAAAAAAATTTTAACCCCTATAATTTATGTTTATTTCAAAATTTATAAGAGGTTTTATACAATTGTACAAGGGACTAAAACGAAAATATTTAAAAAAATTTGGGTCCAGTGGAGGGATCAGGCCCTCCTCCTTAGGCCTGGTCTCGTTTTGGGACCAGGCCTCTTAGGACTAGGTTTTTGGGCTAGGTTTCTGAACGCACTCCCAAATGCCTACCTCTTAATATATATATAATTTCATTATATATATTCAACTAACCTTTAAGCTTTTTTGCATGAATAATTTTAATAAGAAAACCATGAGTACCACGTTCTATTTGTGGCTGCCAACATCAGTCATTTGGGTTGTCTTTTCAGTTTTCAAGTCTTTTATGAGTTTATTGTCTTTTCTGTGTAATCAAAGTGTAATGGCATGCTTACCATCTCTTCTTACAACTTTTCCCCCGCAATTCTAATGTATAACTTGCGATTAACCTTTCTCTCACAATTTTAATGTATAACTTGCAATGGAACAACCGCAATTTTATCAGTATATTAGGAATTATATGACAAATTGAACCACAGTTGATAAGCTCTCATGAAGTCATGAACCACAAAGTGGAAATACTATTTGCCTGGGAAATTACTTCCTTTTAGCAAATGAAATATTATACCTCTTTTCTTTTGTCCACCCAACTATTCTTATCTTTCAGTGAAAGCAGATGATCTTCTCTTTGGTTAATTGATTGTTTTTCTCAAGATGGCACGATGATTTTATATTATATGAAAACGAAAAAAATTAAAAACAAACTATATTGAATGTTTTCCTAGCAAATTTGATTTGATGCCGTATACTAATGGTGAAGTTTAGGAGTTGTTATTCTCCCCAACGGTTCAGTAAACATCACAGACAATTTGGAGAGATCCAATGCAGCTGGGTAACGTTAAACGATCCTGAAGTTTAAGAATTATGAAAATAAACAATAAAAACAATAATATTAAATGTATCAATTCGTAGAAGTGTTATCAACTTCATTTATATAGTTACACCTTATTTTAATTTGCTAAAGATTTACAGCAAATGAAACCCAAATAAGATGATCTTAGCCGTCTCCACAGCTTGAAACAAGAGTACCCCGGAAGAAATGGCGACACTCATTGCAAGAACACCTATCAGCCCTAACGCCAAACCCGGCCTAATGTTCATCAAATAACTCTGCAACTACCCTATTGCTTCACACACATCCTGATTATAATCCACATAGTTTTTCTTTTCCCACTCCATCCAATTCGAAGGAGGTTCATAATTTCCCTCCAACAATTTCTTCTCCTGAATGCGCATTCGCAGCACAATCATGTTCTCATCCACCAGCCTTCCCTTATAATCTCGTCCTTTCGGTCCTCTACTCGCGTCCATGCTTATGATATAGGGCTTCTTCGAGCTGTTCTTTCGACATGGTGGAGGAAGAATGGTGGTAGAGGATAAGAATTTAGTTGCTTCCATTGGTGAAGTTCAGTTCGCAGCTAGCTGAAGTAATGTTTGTTTAATGTTTTTCGTGGAATGATTAGGTAGATGGTTAAGTATTTATAGTTGGAAAGATAAGAATAAGTTGCGTGATAAATTATAAAAACTTAGCTGAAAATAGCGTGTATAAACCGTGTCCAGTGTCGACAAGCAGATGTGTGACGCCATGTAGGGTTGATTATTTGTGCAGTTGAGAGTGAATTTTCTTGGAAACGTGGACGGGAACGTGTTAACGCAGTTTAGAGAGAAAATGTAAACGAAGAGAAAGGAAATAGGGAGAGAAGAAGACAAGAAGGAGAATAGTTGATTAAGACATACAACGATATGTTTGTTTAAAAAAAAGTCTAAGAAAAAGATTAGTGCTTATAATTAGCATTTGAAAGATCAACAAATTCTTAAGCATTAATTGAAAAAAATAAAAAATTATGAATCCTGTTAATGTGAGAATATTGTAAAGAATATATATTTAAAATATATGATGAATTATGTCATTTCAAATGTATATTATATTTTAAAAATGAAAACAATACCGATACGATAAACTCAATTTATTAAAATCCTTTTGAGAAGAAAAATAAATTATTGTCAAAATAAAAATTTAGAAAAATTAAAAGAAAAGAGAATGTAAAGAAGAGGAAAACAAATATATATAAATGAATTGATTGAATTCTACCCAAAATGCTAAGAAATTAGAAGATTTAAAAAAAAAAAAAAAAAGAATCAAAATAATATTGGAAATTATATACTGAATTATAAATTTAAATATAATAATAATTTAAAATAAAAATAAAAACCTTGCATACAATTTCACCACTCTACTTTAGTAACATAACTAGATCTTCCAATAAATAAAGATATTTATTGTTAATTTTAAAAACTATATTTGTGGTGGGAGAGTTACATAGTTATGAAAGCTTTTATATATATAGTAAGTTATACGAAGATTCACATTAGGAAAATGACCTATTAATAATAAGAATAATGCTATGTGTACTAATCAAAACCATACTAACTCAAGTACTAATTATCGTGATAAACTTTTTTTATTGTCACGTCAGTTTTCCTAAATCTAAAAAAATAAAATAAAACTAAAAAAAATTTAAAATTTTAATTGCTAGTACTTGGATTAATATAATAATAATGGAATGTTGTAGGATAGCTTTAACGAGTATCCTAATTAAAATAAACAACAAAAAGGCAAAATGTTTAGACTATCTTTTCAATCTTGACTTAATTTAAAAAAAAAAAAAAATAGTTTATATGCATGCACTTAAATAAATTTTGGACAAAAACAGGGTTGATACATTGCTTCTGTAAACGAAGTGTCTAAAGTCTAAACAATCAATTTTCTAGAACAAGATTTAAGTTAATTATAATCAATTTTCTTGAGAATATTCTATCCCTATTTCAAATTAAAATCCCCGATTATTTTCTTATTCTTAAAATATTATTTTAAATTATTTAATTATTTTTAATTTTTAAATCATACCTCGTAATAACTACCTAATTACGTTGTAATAATCACTTAATTCTGCATAACAATAATATTTCAAAAATACTACATTAAATAACTAAAATACGCGTTTGTTTCTCTATCCTATTCGTATTCCAAATCAAAATACATATTTGTTTTCCTATTCTTAAAATCTTATGTTAAATTATTCAACTAATTTTAATTTTCAACTTTTACCTCGTAATAACTACCGAACTCTAGTTAACAATAATATTTTAAAAATACTACTTCAACTAATTTTAATTTCCAAATATGCATATTATAATTCTCTACCTAACAATAATATTTTAAAAATACTACTTCAACTAAATTTAATTTCCAAATATGCATATTATAATTCTAATATAACTTACATAATATTCCGTTGCATTAAAGACTGTTTTTAAATTTTTCTTAATATATTTTTTTAATCTAATCAAAATATATTTGTTTACTATGTTTAACTTAAGAGTAATGCTATAGTCATCGAAGGTTGCACACCGAATTTGTGCACTGAATGACGTGACAAAATCCTGACCGTTGATTCATTATCGATTAATTTTAATCAACGGTCATGATTTTGCTACGTCATTCGATGCACAGATTCGGTGTGCAACATTCGGTGGCTCTATCATTTTCGTTAATTTAAATAGATCAAACTTTGTATATATAATAAGGAAATAATAATTAAGTGTTTTCTTAAAGAAACACTTGATGAATTCTTTAACAAAAATATTATGTTTACAATCTAATCCCGCAACATTTTCTTACAATCCTAATATGATAGATGAATGGTCATTCCTTGAGGATGAACAATCATTCATTCATTATGAAGAAACGAATATTCCTTTATAAAAAACGATTATTCCTTCTAAATGAACAATCATTTGTCCTTAAGAAATGACCGTTTGTGTCTAATCAAAGTCATTTAATAGCTTGGGTGTGGAGAAAGTTTACGTAACAATTGTCAACGCAGCTACCACATTAGGAGTGTAAGAGAAGTTTATGAGATTGAGTTGTGGATATTGTAATACTCATTCTTTAATAGGTTTACCTCTATTTCTTGTAAATATTTTTGCTGGGATATTGTTTTCAATTATAGGAGAATTACTTTAGATAAATTACATTTCCTAAAGACAAAATCTACTTTTCACTTTCTAATTTCCAAGTAACAGCGTTGTAATTAATTTCTGGGAACTATATTTTAAGCGTTCCTCCCATATCATTAATCAGATTAATGATGTTCAGACGTAAATAATTATATCCGAATTAATGTATTGATGATAAATGATTATCCATGGATAGCTAGCACTAACTAAAGGTAATAAGGATTTATTAAATATTATTATTGAATCAGATTCAATAATGAGAACAAAAGTGTATTGATTTTAGAATAATACTTTGAGTACTAACGGATGGGTACTAATTTGTGTACTAACTAAAGCATAGTACCTGTACTATACGCATAGTACGGGTACTATGCTTTAGTTAGTACACAAATTAGTACCCATCCGTTAGTACCCATAGCATCACTCTTGATTTTATTCTAAAGAGTTAGAATATTTAATGGGATTAAAATTTGAACTAATTATAAATTAACCATTAAACTAAGTACTTGACATAAATATTCTTTTCCAAAATTAATTTTAAACTGTTTGAGGACTTTCCAAGACAATTTAAAATTACACTTTGTTAAACTCTGCTTATAAGCAAAAAAAGGAAAAAAAAAAAAACAAAAAAGGCATCTTCCCCGACTTATTTTCTTTTACTTATAAACCAAAAAAGTTATAGACAACAGATCAATTTAATTTAGAGTTTATATAAGCTTAGATAATACCACAAAAAAAATGACAAAAAAAAAAAAACGTTTATTATATCTTTTCAATTTGACTTAATTGAAAAAAAAAAAAAAAAAGTTTATATGCATGCGCTTAAATAAATGTTGGACAAAAACAGGGTTGATACACTGCTTCTGTAAACAAAGTGTCAGTCTCGTGTATATAGAACGACTTACACGTACCCAAGGTTTGTCGTAACGATAAGTTGGTATCCAAAAGGTTTTGAAACGACAAATAGGTACCTTCTGTCATGTTCTGTTAGTGATTTCTGTTTATTAATAGTGAAAAGACTAAAATGCCCTTAAAAGTTTGAATTTTAGTTTTTTATAAATTTAAAAATTTCTAAAAAACCCCCTAGGTTTACAAATTTAACTAAATACCCCAATATATAAAAATTTTGTAAAATAACAAAAACATCCCCGCCACCCGCAGTGCCAGATTCCGGCCACCACTGCCGGAATCTTGTCGGAAAGTTGCGTTACGACACAGACCCATCGGATCTGTGTCGTAACGCGTCGATCTGGCCTTTTCCGGCCAGATCCGTGGCTGATCTGGCCGAAAAAGGTTTTGCGGCGTCGACGACCAGATCTAGCCGTAGATCTGGCCTTTTTCGGCCAGATCAGCCACGGATCTGGCCGAAAAAGGCCAGATCTGGCTGTTGCTTTGACAGCCAGATCTTGCCTTTTCCGGCCATATCCGTGGCGGATCTGACTGGAAAAGGCCAGATCGGCACGTTACGACACAGATCCGACGGGTCTGTGTCGTAATACAATTTTCCGGCCAGATTCCGGTGATGGTGGCCGGAATCTGGCAATGGGGGTGGTGGGGGTGTTTTTGTCATTTAACAAACTTTTTATATATGGGGGTGTTTAGTTAAATTTGTAAACTTAGGAGGTTTTTTAGAAATTTTTAAATTTATAAAAAACTAAAATTGAAACTTTGAAGGGCATTTTAGTCTTTTCACTATTAATAAACAGAAATCACTAACAGAACATGACAGAAGGTACCTATTTATCGTTTCAAAACCTTTTGGGTACCAACTCGTCGTTACGATAAACCTTAGGTATGCACAAATCGTTTGGCCTAATAATAATTGAGAAGTGCTACCTGACAAAGGCAGCATACACCTTTCATCTTCGTGATTTCTCCCCCTTTCTCTTTTTATGTTCTTTCTTTGTTTTTCTGTCTCTTCTCCCTCGCCTCACTTTATAGTTTATAGCTCTTTTTATATAGGTCTTGATAACATTTTTCATAATAATTACTTTTTTCAAGAACAAGATTTAATTATAATTATAGTTAAATTTCCAAATATGCATAATATAATTCTAATATAACTTACGCAATATTTCGTTGCATTAAAGACTGTTTTTAATATCGATGATTTTTCTTAATATATTTTTTTAATCTAATCAAAATATATATGTTGACTATGTTTAACTCAAATAGATCAGACTTGCATATGTAGTAAAGAAATAATCATTGTAGTGTTTTCTTAAAGAAACACTTGATAAATTCTTTAACAAAAATATTATATTTATGATCTAATCTTACAACTTTCTCTTATAATTTTAATTTGACACTATTACATTAATTAACGATTTTAACTAACATGAAGGGTTATTCCTTAGAGAGGAACGGTCATTCATTGAGGATGAATGATCGTTCATTTACAAAGAACATTTATTCATTATGAAGGAACGAATACAATCATTCCTTCTGAAAGAATAATCATTTGTTCCTAAGAAACGACCGTTTATGTCTAGTTAAAATCATTTAATGTCTTGGACGTGAAGAAAGCTAACGTAATAATTGTCAACTCAGCTGTCATATTAGGATTGTAAGAGAAGATTATGAGATTGAGTTGTGGATGTTGTATTACTCATTCTTTAATAATAGGTTTACCTCTATTTCTTGTAACTATTTTTGCTGGGATATTGTTTTCAAAGATATGAAAATTATAGGACAATTACTTTAGATAAATTACATTTCCTAAAGTCGAAATCTACTTTTCACTTTCTAATTTCAAAGTAACAGTATTGTAAGTAATTTCTGGGAACTATATTTTAAGCATTCCTCCCATTCCATCCCACTGGAAAATTAAAAAGAAAAGAAAGAGTCAAGTCAGCATCAACAACCTCAAGACAGCTGTATCTCTATGTGGCCTGACAGTAGCCCAATCCATTTGCATGCATAGGCCTCTATGTTCTTTAGAAAATGAGCTGCGCTGGCCCAAATTCTGTTTCTTTATCACACTCCTGGAAAAAAAAATTGAATAAACAATTTCTTTCATTTTACCAAGTTCCTAATATGCTAATACTCTTATACATATTTTATTTAGTTTTATAATCTCCTTAAAAATCATTATGGAGTTTATGATATGCAATCAGTTAAAATTAGAACAGTTCAATTATGTATTTGAAAATAATCGAAAATTAAATTAATTCTCTAGAACAAAAAGACAAAGAATCAGAGAATCTTGCCATTTCTTTCATGACAAACATATACAATTACAAGAATCAATGCCCTATATCATAGTAGTTTCTTGTATTTACAAGCATAAACTATTCTGCAAATACAAATTCAACCAACATGGCCGGCTGCAGACAAAACTCCATTAGCCAACTCTAGCAATCGACATGCAACCAGAAAACTCGAAGCCGGGATACTCATAGCTACCACCGCAACCAACCCAAGAGCCAAACTCGGCCTGCAATTCATCAAATAAGACTGCAAAAACCCCACGCCTTGACATATTAACTCATCGTAACACGTATAGTACTGCTTCTCCCACGCCATCCACTCCGCCGGAGGCTCGTAGTTTCTCTCTATCATTTTCATTTCATGTATGCGTTTCCTCAACACAATCATGCTTTCATCTACCAGCTGCCCTTGTCTCCTGTAGTTTGAGTCACAGGAATCTCTTCCAGCTTTTGCAGAAACTTGAACGCCAGTAGGCCTTAGTTTTACTTGCCCAAATTTTCTGTTTTGAGACTGTGAATTGTGGGAGGAGAATGGTGAAGGAGAAGGAAGGAGTACTGAAGAACAAAGAGAACTTGATTCCATTTTTGAATTTTGAGAGTTGAAACTTGTTTGTGTACAAGATTGAATTGAGTTTGAAGATGATGGATGTGGAGAAACAAAGTTATTATGTTGTGTATTTATAGATACAAAACTTAAGATCTAAGATTTAAGAATTAAGAATTAAGAGTAAAGAGCTTGATGGGTTGTTGACACGTGTCCTTTCTCCGCGTTCTCCTGTAAGATGTTGACAGGACTTGGCTTCTTATTAATGAGTGGCCGTTGGCTCCTCGGGAAGCGGGCCAGCAACTAAGGTCGGCGCTTATTTATTACTCTATCCAATTATTTATATTAAAAGTTCACAGATGCTTCTGCTAGAGAATTGAGCCCCAGCCTTGCCGTCACTGATATCAACAGCGATTTGTTTATTATTCTGGCAGGATTTTCAAAATAATATCGGATAATTGAATAGAGTCATATTGCAAAGTAAAATTTAAAATTTATAAAAAGTAAAATTTAAAATTTATAAAAAAACCTATAGATTTATTAATTTAATTAAATACTCTAATATATAAAATGATAAAAATATTTTCATCATCTGCAGTGTCAGATTCTAACTACCACCGTTAAAATCTGGCTGAAAAATCACGTTATGATATAGACCAATCAGATATATATTGTAAAACATCGTTATGGTCTTTTTCGGTTAGATCCACCACGGATCTGATCGAAAAAGACCAGATCTACGGCTTGCTGCGGCCGTTGACTGTCGAAAGAGACTAAAACGACTGCCATCTTTGGCCGTCGTCATTGACCGTCAACGACGACCATTTCTTTGACTGTCGCTGATGGCTAGATCGGTAAATTACCTATCAGTTCCGGTCGATAATTCACCGTTGTGGTAGATTCTGACTACCACTGACGGTGGTTGCTGGAATCTGGCAAGTATGGGTCACTGGAGTGTTTTTGTTAGTTTTTAAACTTTTTTAGGAGGTATTTAATGAAATTAATAACCTTATAAAGTCTAAAAGTAATTAAAAAATAGGGTAATATTTTTGGAATAATGTACCAAATATTATTTGGATGGAGAATAGGATTGAGAATATGGGCAGAAATAATAAGCCAAATATGCCCTACAATTTTATTTAATTTTCAGAACTCATTAAATATTTTATTAATTTAATATTTCAAAATAAATCATAGTCTCTTTTGGATTTTAATTTAATATCTATAATTATTAAAATAAAATCAATAATTGATGAACTAAAACTACTAATATTAAGCGGCAGTCCACTGTAGAATTCAGAATCTCCAGGATTAAATATGAAAGAGATATATTATAAATATATTCATTGGTATCCGCACATGATGATCAGGTTGAACATTCAGATATTTAAATTTTAACGGTGGAAGCAACCTCATCATGTATGATCTAAAAATATATTTTATTTAAGAATGACAATATCAAATGGACAGGAAGATTATGAGTTGACAATTAATATGATTCAATAAGTAATGAAATAACTCACAAGTTAACTAGATACATAGCATGGCGATTCCCTCGAATATGAACTATCTTTGAGCTAATGTCTAATATAATCCATTCTATCTTTTATATTTATATCGTATGCTGTTCAGTTTATTATAGAAAATACAGTAAACGAATTTTTCCCACCCAAGGTTTGCCTTAATGACACTTTTTTACCAAAAAAGTTTTAAAATACCATTTTTTTCACCCAAAGTTTATATTTTATTAATATCTAAAATACACTTCACTTTCTCCGTTAAAGATCGGTGAGTTACCAAGAGCTAGGATAAGAGGAGTTTTATAGAGTAGAAGCCTATAGATTAAATAGTGGTGATCGATTGAATATTTGCCACTAGAATAAGTCAAAAATTAGCTAAGAATAAGAAACCTAGTTTGCGATAACCGACAATCGGTGAAAATCAAGTGCCGGAATGAGAAGGGTTGTGTAGAGAGCAAACCAGAGGTTTAAATGATGGTGACAAAGAGAATTTTTGTCACTGAAATAAGTTGAAATCAATTTATGATAGGGACAGGATATTAACTTTAGGTGAAAAAGTGATATTTTAAAACTTCTTTTAAGAGAAAGTGTAATTAAGGTAAACCTTGGTGGGAAAAAAGTCGTTTACTCTAGAAAATAATCAAAATCATTATTTCTGCAGCAGCTTTGATAATTTTGGTGGAGTTGACACTTCCAAAATCGATGGATTCTTGTCTCTAGAAAGATGTAAACGATCAAGCAACAATCTCATGTAACGGTGGAAATATTAAATCAAGTTTCCAGTACAGAAAGGGTCAAATTCTCCGCTCTGATAACAGCCAGCAACAGAGTTATCATCAATGACAACTTTTAAAATATTTTTCATTAATTTGTATTATCTGTAATTTCTTGTTGACAAAGTCTTATACTCTGTATAATGAACACACAAAGATCAATCAAAAAGACCATCCTATTCTTTGAAGCTTGTTTACAGTTTTCTTCCCTAACATGTTGTTATATGAATTCCATTTAGCACTCATCAATTTCATCCTGCAAATTTCGAAGACTAGTTCAGTTATAGACAGGTGAAAAACTAGGGGATTTGCTTCCAGAAAAAACCCTGTATGAGTTATATGATGCCATACAGTGGTTCTAAGTTGAAGTGTTGAGGCTATTTTTCAATTCTGAAAATTATAGGGATGCATAAGGGTTTCTGGTGGGGCAGATAGCGTCTTCAACCACCCAAAACTTGTTATCTGCAGATTAATTCAGACCTCAAAATGATTTGATTAACAGTGGACACAATGATCTGGAAAAGTCAGCAAAAGACATCGGTTCAAACTATGAAATAAATTTTTTACATTTAAGGGCAGGCAGTCACATATAACCAGTGTTTAATGGTAACAAGAGCATCTGGAAAAGTAAAATTTTGAATAATTATGCACTCATTACACAACAATATGTTTTCTTCCTCCCAGCAGAATGTCAACACCAGAAGCTAAAGAATTTGTTACATTACCGGTATCACACTCTGTGGCAAGATATAGGGTGGTGCTTCTCATCTAAGCATTGGAACAAACATGTATATTCAAGAAAATACTTGAGAGTCTTAAGAAACTGAAAATAAATTATTGGATTTTTTTATTTTTTTATTTTTTGGGTGCAAATGCACATTTGAGAACCACAACTATAATAAGTAAACAATCAAGAATCCTAGGTGAAAGAAGTGAATTACACATCAAAAGTGGAATATCTTCAACTGCATCAGTCATCATAGGAGGAATGAGGAGCAGCAGTACATCCATGGTCAAAGGGGTCCTCAGATCCACAGCAATGCCAGTATTGGAAAACTTTGCCAGACTCAGGAGTATCCATGGTGCCTCCTGAGTAGACACTTTCGAACTTTCTCTTCGTTTCCCCTGAAACATTGCAGTAAAATACGTTAATACGTTGTACCAAATCTGTCTTCAGCAAGCCAAAAAAAGAAATAAGAAAAAATAGCATAAGGAACAAATAATCCAAATACAGGAAGGTTTTACAGAGTAAATCTATTTTACCATATTTAAGAAAAGAAGAGTTTAATTTACTTGAAGCTTAATCAAATCATGGTCACTAACATTCATGGTTTGGTACAGTCAGTGGTAACTTATCTTGTAATGGATGACATCTACAAATTTAAACTTTCCCATACTTGCAAGTCTGCAAGCTTAATAACCGATTGACTTTCCATGATTCTTCTCCCATCAAAAGATACACTATGTATATGTACAAACACACACATAGATAACTTCTATATTCATATTCACACACATAGATAACCTCTATATTCATATCTAGATTTTTCATTTTTGCCAACACTATAATTTTAAATTAACTTCCTAACTAAAACTTGTAGACAGGCATCTTTCAGCAAATTTCCCATTATATAGTAAGAGGATTTAATTCTCAAAACAGCAGAGACGCATTGCAATTTCGGTAAATTACAGGAGATCAATGTAAAAATTTACCCTTTTTCTTAAAGTATGATAGTAAAACCTGCTGAAAATATGATAAACAATTCATTAGGGTTGTAAAAAGCTCAGCTCAAATTTTCAACGAATTGCAAGATGAGAAAATTAACAGTCAATCAGTTACCAGATTATCATATGCAGAATTGCAATTAATGGCCATAACATAATTTCTTCCACAAAATCTAATTCTCTACGGACAAGCCTAAACTTTAAAACCCTTGTCTTAATCAAAATTACAATTTTTTTTTTAATTTTTTATTGAACACTTAACTGCAAGAACTTGGAAACAAATTACCAATAGAATAGAACTACCAATAAAAGGTTAAAGTAACGATGAAATGAGATGAAAAATTAGTTAAAAAGAGAAAGAGAAATGAAGTGGGTTACCTCCAAAATGGGCGGTGTGGAATCTACAAGCTCGAGGGTGATTAAGCAAAGGGTCGAACTGGGTTTTGCAGTTCTTGCAAGTTCTGAGAGTTTCGGTATTGGGGTTGGCTGAGCATTGAATTGTATTGAGTTTTGGTGAATACGTGAGTGTTGTTATTGGTCGCAAATGACGTTGGAAAATCGTTGGTGAGGTTCGATTTCTATGGAATGAAGTGAAGGAAGGGAGCGAGTGATGAGGAACGGAGACAGCCATGAGAACTGAAAGGAAGATTCAATAGAATGACGGTTCGGTAGACAAACTAATTGTTTTTACTACACTGCCACTGCCCACTGAAAAGGGCAAATGCCAAATGGGGGTAATAGTACAACTCATAATACAAAATTTTTGGATGAGAATTAGTTTCATGGAAGGTTTTCTTTTGTGATTTTTTTAACTTTAATGAAAACTTTTCTGTCAAAATTTCAAATTAGAAGATTTATTTAATGCTAACCTTAATCATTCCCCCTACTCACTTCTCTTATTCATCTTTATTAAAATATTAGCCTTTTCCATTTTTTCACTTTTTTAAAAAAATGTGAGTAAGAGAAGTGAGTAGGAGAAGTGAGTAAGATTAGCATTATTCTTATTTCTCAAAGGAGAGGAATTAAAATTATTCCCATATTTTAAAAATAATTCTTCCAAGAACAGATTTTGTTAAATTTAACTCAGAATTAGTAACTTTTAAGAGTTACCATGTCTTAATTTATTTATTCATCACTCTTTAACCTTGTTTTATTTTATCATTTTAGGTTATTTTTACTTGGAATTCAAAACTATTATTATATTTTATCTTTATAATAATAATAATTATTATTATTGTTGTGATTTAAAATATTATTATAAATATGTTTGTATGAATCTATCCAAATGAAATGATTTTATTTGGACTCTTACTTATTAAGACAATTAAAATAATAGATAAATAAATAACTATTGTTAATTGTTAATATTGTTAATTAAAATTAATAGAGTAACCGACATGTACCCACCAAGGTTTGGCAAATCTACAAGTTCCTGTCCATAATTTCATAAATTCTAGATTCTCACACTTAAGTTAACATCGTTAGTGATTTTTAGGTTTTGATACTATATATAAAGTGTTATTATCATACTGCCCTTAATAAATAAATTACTTTTTAACCCCCAAGTTAATAGAATTAGAAAAAATCATCATACTTTCAAATATCTTTCAATAACACCCTTTTCTTCAATATATATATATATACACGAACCTTAAGAGAAGATGGACGATGATTGATAGACTAAGAGGGTTAGGTTGGTGGGGGATTTTGGAGAGCAGATGCCGAAGAAGCAAAGGGTGGTGACGGAGGTTATTTCTATGGTGGTCGACGATTGACAAAGTAAACGGGTATGGTGTCATAGGGGTTTTGGTATAAGGGCTGAGGGGAGGAAGATGGTGGTGTCAAGGAAGGCCAACGATGCTGAGTATAGGTTGAAAAGGCTAGAAATGGCTGTCGCATGTGATGGAGCTGGGTTGTGAGAATCGACCAAATCGAGAGTTATCAAGTCTGAAAAACATTTGGAAAATGATAAGGTGATGATTTCTATCGATTTTGGTGAGAAAATCAACCTGAACCAACTTCAAACAGTCGTTGATGGTGATAGCGATGCTAACACTTTGTTGATTTTGATATGTAAAGGGTTATTTTAAAATTTTTATTTTTATTTCAGATTTATTGTGGTGGAAATGACCAATTTACTCTATAACCTTTTTATTAAATGATTTTATGTTAATTTAAGAGTAAGAATTTAGAATTTATGAAATTAAGGTTAGAAACTTGCCAGTAAGCCAAACCTTGGGTGCGATCATGTCGTTTACTCAAATTAATATAACATTTTTGTCTTAAAGTGATAAAATGATGTGCTTCCATCAATTTAATACAAAAATTAAACGTAAGCCCGCTGCCAGAAGCAACTAATTAACGAACTCCACTACTCTGAAAGACCAAACTACCCTCTACCCTCTACCCACAAACTCCCTTCTCTGACTTGTCTGCAACTGGCAACTGCCATCTGCAACTCACCAGAAAAAAAACCCTAGAATTCTAGGGTTGAATTCTGCTCCAATTGTCCTTTATTTCATGAATTGGAAAGTTTTCAACCATGGCTAACAACAATGAAGAGCCAAGCTCTGCTCCAGCGTCTGATCGCTGGTACAACATTACTCTTGGCTCCTCCTTCAGAGACCACCACTACAATGGTCAATCTCCCAAGTTCTGCACTTTACGTTGTAAGTACTTCTGTGTTCTTCAAGAAAGCTCAAAATATTTTCTGGGTTATATTTGGTTAAGGGGAAAACTAAGTAAAAAATGAAAAAAAAAATAAAAATTTGAGCTTTGTGTAGGTGTAATGTTGTTTTGGTTTCTAAAACGTTAAGAGTAAGCTCAAGGGAGCAAGTAGACATTGTAAATTTTAGATTTATGTTAGTTTGGAAGTGTTAAAACAGTTTATATTTAGAAAATGACAATTGGACATTAGTATTTTTATTTTTTTGGGTGCCAAGATTGCTTTTTGGAGAAAAAAGGGAAGATTATGTTTCAATGGTTTCTTGGCGGGCTAACATCTGAGGGAATCATCTGAATCAAGCTCAAAGGATCATTTTCATAAGGGTTTAAGTCGTCGGGTTTTGTTGTATAGTAGATGCTCTGACGCTATTGATATGTTTTCTCTCTTTTTTTTTTTTTTTTTCCCAGATGAATTTAAACCAGCTTCTATTGATCGTAACCAACCTGGCTTACTCCACAAGAGCAAGGATAACAGGGTTACGGTAGAATTTCAAAACAATCAGCAGGGAAAACCTAAGGTGATTTTTGAGGGCGTTGGTGAAGATTACAGGGATAAGGACAACGATGCAGTTTTATTTTTTGATGGTGAGACATTTCGATTGGAGCGGTTGCACCGAGCTGTGAAGCGATTGAGGCATGTTCGTATACCTGGTGAGCCTTCAGCTGCAGCCGCATCAACCATGACTACTTTGGTCACACCTGTGGTGGAATCTCACTCTACTGCAGTTGGTAAAGGATCAAAACTACAGCCTTTGAGCTCAGGCATAGTCCATGAAACGGTGAGCCTGCAGATTTTTATATCTTTTTTATGGATACGATCATGTGAAGAGTGATCTTGATTTGTGATCTTGTAGGAAATTATCATTGAAGAATACTATAGATTATTTTTTCAGTTTCACAATTCTAACTTTTACTTGATTGTACCTCTGAGTTGACATGTGAGACAGTAACTAAGTATTTTAGGATTGCCATCCTGTTCATATAATTTTAAATTGCTTGACATGAAGATCCATTATAACTTAGAGGTTTTCTTTCCACACGACACAGATTTAATATCCATCATCAGGTGCTGAAATAGCTACTGAAAAAAGATATACTTTAATTGGTTGGAATCATCCATGTGAGTTGTGACATCTGGAACCTTTGTGTGTGATTACTACACTTAGTGTAGTTATTCTCTGGATGCCTGTATCATATACTGCAGGAATTATATTAAATTTTTCTTCTTCTTTCTTCAGATGTATAGATGACAAGTGTAGATTGTCTGCAACTGCTCCTATTTTGACATTTATAATGAATTTTCTGTTCATGCCATTTTGTATACAATCTCCAGGTTCAGGTGGAACAGATTGACACTGGAAACTCAACAAACTTAGGTATGGTTCCTTTCATTTCTTTCATCAATTTGCCATAATGGATAACGTTAAAACGTTAGTCACTGCACTGAAGACCTATATGCTTTAGTTAATGTCAAATTGGTCTGCGGCTAATCTGAATAGAAAGACTCAATTTCTTTGATTTTCTACTTTCATACAAATAGTTTTTTCACCGTCCTAGGAGCCCACTGGCCTTAAGTCGATCTCTCTGATTTCTGCATCAGAGTGTTCTGATTCTTGGTCTTGTTTTTCCTGTTCAAATTTGTGTACCAGAAACACATCCATTTTTGCCTAGTAAGCAATTTGGATGAAAATTACACCAATTTTGTAAATATACATAAAATTCAAAAATAAAATGATTTTGACCTGCTTTAATTACTATATTTGATCCAAAATTCACTGCATATAGGTGAAATGTGATAAACATATAGGGATTGCAAAATTTCAAGTAGGTACCTTTTTCCTTTAAACAGAATCTTAACAACGGAGCAATTGTGATTGTGTTTAATTCTAGTTTCATTTAAATGTGTATATTTACTCAGTTTTGTTACAGCAACTAAATTTTCCCCCCACTCAGATGCAGAACCTCAAAGTGAGAAGGATGTGGAGTGTTCATCTCTTCCTAATCCATCAACATCATCACCATTTGCTGAGAATTTTGAAGCCGAGGAACATGTAGAAATAGTTGATGACAATGATGACGGTTTTGAAGCAGGAAATAAAGGGAATGTTTCTGAAAAGGAATTCTGCACTGGTCTTGATATTGATATCAACTTACCGCATCAAGTTGACGTGGATGAAGAAATTGCTGATGTAGATGTTAGTGATGACGATGCGGATAAGGGCCCTAATGCTGCTGAAGCTCTTAGAGCTCAGGTAAATGCCGAATGCCGAAAGAAACAAACCTCAAGCTCAAGCAGCAGCAGTGAGACTGAGAGTAGTGGGACAGAAAGTGGTAGTGGGAGTGGGAGTGGAAGTGGGAGTGTGAGTACTAGCACTGATAGTGAAAGTAGTGATGGTGACTCAGTCAACTCCATCTGAGATATCTTGGCCATGCAAGCCTTTCAGCAAATTACTATGTTGGTGTAGCTTTGATATATGTATTGATAGTTGTAGAAAGATAAGAGTTTTAAGTTCTTTATGTATTTACTAATCTAGGATGGTTCTTAGGATTCTATATTAAACTGATCAATTGTTGATGTACTTGTAAAATTATGGTGGTAGGAATAAAAATTAAAGCACGTAGATTGTAGAGCCTGATTTTGTAGCATAGATGGATGGTTCATATTGAACTGATGAGGTTGCCCTCATTATCAATAACCAACTTTCGATCATCCTCAAATTATGCACGTACATTAACCAATTGAAGGCTTTGGAATGAAGTGGAGCATATTGGCATCTTCTAACGTTTTCATTATAAGTGATGACATAGATTATTAGATATACTGCTCTTGGAAATAGATGCATTAAACTATGTATACTTGTGCTTGTTTAGCTAGACTGCTTTGAATTACAGTGAGCATTAGCCTTGAGCAGTACGTTTTTGCGAAGTTGACGAAACTTAAGCAAAGGTTTCACCTCCACGGCGGGTAAAAAACCCCAAAACTCTCACAGGACAGGAAGGTTTTGCACTTGACACATTTTCTTAATGCTATTTGTTAGCTGTTAGAGATGCCAAAAGAGACACCATCGCATATGAAAGTATTTAAAGCCAGCTCCTCGTTAAGTGAACCATAATGTTAAGCAGCTACTAAGTGCAAATACAAACAGGAAAAACGCAATTGTGTAGGCACATTGGTAACTGTTTTGAATCAAATAAATAAAATCTGTACCCTACCAATTCTCTCAAAATTTATATTCAGTGATTGATAACCACTTAATCGACAAAGGTGAACTATGTATAGACCAATAAAAGTCAGGGGAAAGAAAGATAAGAGATGACTCAAATCTCATACAGGAGCAGAAGCTTCCTTTTCTTGTTCTGTGCCTCTGTCCTCGTCACTACCTTGATCCCCTTTATATCCATCTTGAAAAAGTTTATCCTCCGATGGAAAGTTCTTCTTTGCTTTCTTGCTACCTTCGACTTTCCACATATCCCATACCTTGGTTTTGGGTGGAGGTATTGCCTCTCCACTGGGTGCAACTAATCCTGGCTTGCCATCATCAATAACTTCATCTACTAATCCATATTCCTTGGCTTCCCAAGCATTCATGAAATTATCGCGGTCAGTGTCCACTTCAATCTGCAAACAACCAGAATTTCAAAGGAAAAACTGTAAGGAACCAAAAGGGAAATTCAGGAATGGAATATGAGAAATAACTAGAGGTATTATCATATAACCCAGAACCTGCTCTAGAGGCTTCCCAGTAACTCTTGACAATATCTTGTTCAGTTTAATCTTGTGGTATGACATCTCTCTTATCCGGATGCTCATCTCTGTTGCCTGAAATCACATGGCAAGAAAGAAATTAGTGACTTGCAGGAACAAACCATAGGCCTGATCTCAGCCAAACCCTAAGGATTGGAATTTCCTCTCAATTAGTCAAACAAATTTGTCACAGACGTCTATCATGAAGAAAGCAATGACATCTGATAAAGTTATTTTTATATAGAGACAATTGCGTGGTTATCAAACTTCATAACCATCACAAAAGATATAGACATTTTATATTAAAATAAAGAAGAATAATATTGAGCAACTTCTCGTAATATATAATACTAAAAGCATTTTGAATCCCCAGGCAAACGGCTAATAATGCTATTCCAACTTAATACTAGAGGGACGCTCCTTACTGAATTGATCATAGATGTGAACGGTCTGGTACTTCGTAATAAAAAGGAACTAGAGAGAGAGAGAGAGAGAGCAACCAAAGAAAAGTTTAAAGCATGCACTCTAGAAAGCATCAGAAAAAGTTGATCAAAGCCAAGAGAAATAATAACAAAAAACTTTGAATTATCCTAATATTTTAACATAGCTTTTTTATGTAATAGAGAGAAAATAAACAAACAAATATATAAAGAGTTGCTGTGCTACCAGAAAAAGGTTCCTAGGTGTGACTAAAAACTGCTTGTGGCTGACTGCGCTATTTAACCATGATTGGCTGCAAGGTGGCAACCTTAAAATTCTATTCAATCCTATTCTTAGACTTGATGTCTGATGAGAAAACATTTTATTCATCAATGCTATGTCTTCTGTATCAGCAACTGTTATCCTTATGTAATTCAACTTAGAGAACCTAATCCTACTAAATATCCCAGGAATTCTTGTCTAGCGCTAGAATTATAGGGATCTTGCTTGCCTCAAATTAAAGTTGGAGATTAAAGCATCCGATTCAAGAGATTTTTCATGCATTAGCAACTTCTAGTAGTAGGATTTCAAGAGTAATGTCCACGTAAAGAGCAGATAATGAACACTTACTTTGCCTCCAGCAGTCCCCAGTGGTTGATGGATCATCACTTTTCCATTAGGCATGCAAAATCTCTTCCCTTTTGTACCAGATGCCAGCAGAAATGCACCCATAGATGCAGCAAGCCCCAAGCAAACAGTTGAAACATCAGCCTTGCACAACTTCATTGCATCATATATTCCCATTCCTTCATGCATTGGCAAAAGACAAGAACAAATCAATCAGCATGTGAACAGATGTTTTTTAATTGTACTTAACTCCATACAGTAATGTGTAGACAAAAATCACTTGGATTCCTTTTTGGCTAGTTAAACCTGCCTAGGTCATCTAAGGAAATAAGATGGGAAAATTAAAGAAATTATGTGTAATTAAAAAAATTATGTGTATAAGGGTTTCCATGAAAGATTTCTTTACCAATTGTCCCTAATACAACCCACTTTAACAGTACTACGACTGTTGAGTAGTTTCATAGAATTTAAATCTACAAACCAAAGTAAATATAGACTTGAAGTTCTTCAGATGTGTTATCCAAATATTCGAAAGAACCATGAGCTTCAACAGAAACCAAGAATAAATAATTAGTTCACTTTAAATTAATCCCACTGCAGCAGATGGCAGGATAAGCAGAAATGTGATGGAAAGCAACAAGTACCAAACCTAGGAAGACAATAGACCTGTTTAACTCTGAAGAGCACAAACAGCTAAAAGATATTTCTAAGAAAGTGATGGTTTTTAGAGCATGCGTTTATAGGGGTGCGGGTGCTTTTGTGCATGAACAAAACAATAAATGAAAAAATAAGGGGTTTACTAAAAGTTTATAACTTCCTTTTGTTGCTAGAAGAGCAGAAATTCTGATTTCCCCTTCACACTGAAAATCAGAATCAATGTGAAAAATCATAAATTCTTATGGGATGAGTATCTCTGGCTTATAAAACTAACTAGCTCAAACCAAATATAATTGTAGAACCCTAGCATACCCATTGTTGACTTAATAACATCAAAAGAGCCCTATGCCTTGCAAAAACAATCCTCAATGGCTAATCAGAACCATCAAATATTTTCCTAGCCATAAAACCACTTACAAGTCATTATTGGATGCCAATTGGTATATATAAATGAAGTCGGTGATAAAATCATTTCTCAATCCGAGCCTAAACTTCAACCTCAAGTTACATTACTTATGCTCATTCTTCATAACAAGTTAACCAAAGATCTTTACAAGCATTTACACCATCTAACACCCCAAATACATACGCCAAATTTTCCGCAGATCCAATCATGCATAGTACAAAACATATATATTAACATATAGACGTACCAGCAGTAACAGAGCCACCAGGTGAATTGATAAACAACCTGATGTCTTTCTTAGGGTCTTCGGCATCAAGAAATAAGAGCTGACTAATAACAAAATCAGCTGTCATGTCATCAACCTGCCAAGATTGATATGAAAACCGGAAAATTTAATATACAGCAGAAACAACAATTTCCTTCATATTTTCCAGCTAACACAAATAATTTATGCATATACAATCATCATCCAACATATCCATTACAAAAATCCTCAAAATCATTATCAAACCACAATAGAATTTCAGAGAACACAACTGTATTGACAATAATCAGTAATCCCATCAAAACACCAAAATACCAGCTAATTCATCAGCATACATTTTACCCCAAATTCTGTATTGAACCCAGAAAAAAAAAAAAAAAAAAACCAGCTATACAACATCTATAACCTCATGTCACATCTCCAAAACAACAAATACTTCACAAATTATCAATTAAAAAAAAAAAACCCACTTCAGAAACCCAACAATTAAACCCAAAAAAAGATTCCTTTCACTGAAAAAGAGGACAATAAAGATTGAAACCTGAGAGCCCAAGAAGATGATTCTCTGACGAAGAAGCATGTTGGTGGTATCAAGCTCTTCAAATCTGGGTAGCCATGGAGCTGAAGTGGTGTTAGCAACAGAGAGATTAGACAAATCCCACTTGGTAGATAAGATGTGTCCTCTTGCGGACAAGCTATTCAACGCCTTAACGAAAACGGGTCTCTTTGTCTTGTTATGAAAGTGGGTTTTTACATGGGATTGGTTTGAGAAACACAAAGGCTTTGAAACTGAAGCAGCTGCCGCACATGTTAAACTCATCTCCATCTTCCTCTCTTACTCTCTTCCTCACAGTTTGTGTCTGGGCAGTTAAAATGGACTTTCGAGTTGAAGAGATTGTGTTCTTTCGCTGTGTCAAAACGGCGTCGTTCCCAGCTGCAGTTGCAATCAGTTTATAAGCGAGGGAGATATTATAATTAATTTATAGGTAGTTTTATTCTTTAATTTGATTAAAGATATATATAATTTCTGTGATTGGGGAATTTTTTATTTTAAATTTATGAGCCAAAATAAGTTCGATTAATATTAATCCTTAAAAATTCATATAACAATTTTATATGCTATCAAATCATGCATTTTAATTGAAAATTATCAAATTCTATATAACACATTAATTTGTATAAGTTAATTTACATAATATTATTCAGTATCAATTTTTTTTTTATTATTAATTCAGATTCAGAAAATTCGTAAACAGTTTCGTTCAATAAATAATTAGCTGTTTAACAGTAAATTTCTTGTTCAACGCAATCAAATTCTTTCTCTGTTTACCCATTTATATTTGGTTTTTCTTTTTAGAATCATCAATTATGTGGTTCGGGTCGGGCTCGCGCTTGATTCTTGATAATGAATTCAACCCGACACAGTTTCTCCCATCCCATAAAAATAAAAATAGGAAACGATAAGAGGTCCGGACAGAGGGTAGAGAGATGGCAAAATTCTCAGTGGGTAGTTTAGATGAGGGAGAAGGATCCAGTTCCAGGTACCAAAAGAGACGGAGAATGGATCGTCAACCTCAAACCGATTCCACAGAAACTGTTTCAGAAGAAATTGATCATGTAGATGAAGAGACGGATATCAGAGATCCGGATTATCTAGTATTCCTTTCTAATCAAGAAGTTCCTTTTGAAGAAGAACAAGAAAACGACGCCGAAGACGAAGAGGAAGACGAAGACGAAGCCGGATATGGAGTAGAAGAAGGAGGAGTTAATAATACGAGTGATGAAGAGATGGATGATCTGGTGGTGGAACCCGGTACAAATGAGTCAATTTCTGTGACGCTAACTGACCCAGAAGTTTTTGATTGCCCCATCTGCTATGAGTCGTTGTCCTCTCCCGTCTTTCAGGTTTGTTTTTTTTCCCTTCAAGCTCTGTCTTTTACACGTATTTGTGCTTGTATGAAGGTCTACTCATTTGGGTGTTTTTTTGTTTTGCATGAATTGTTTAGGGTTTTGGTTTTGGTTTCCTATTTTTTATTATTCTGGAGTTGATTGTGTTGAGATTCTCTTAAGTACTGGTAGTTTTTGTGGCTGGGGAGAAGTTATAATTGGATCATAAAATTAAGAGCAATTCTACTTTACTGGGGAGGTATGGATACCGCTTTGTTTTAGACCGTTGGATAGGATAAAGTAGTTCTCATGTGATAGTCCCAACTTTCCTTTATGATACTTTTCCGTTGGGTAGAATCACACAAGAATTAAAAGTTTAGGGCTTTTTTTATTTGGATAGTTGAGACAACGGTTTAGGGCTGTAATGATGAAGCCTGTGCAGACTTCCTATCATATCGTCTCAATAAATGTATCAGAATAAGTTTGCTTTGTTTAGATTAATTTCCATCTATTTGTGAGTTATGTAACTTGCAGTATGCTCATGAATTTGTTGGGTAAATTAACTTAAACACTAAGGAAGTTTTATCCAAGGGTTTTGTTCCTGTTGTCTTTGGAAGTCTTTAATTATTCATTCAAATATTGTATAAACAGGGTCTTCAGAAGATAAAAACCAAGAGAGTCAAACTTGTTAAGTTTAGATTTTATCTTTGAGACTTTTAGTGTTATGTTGGTGTCATTTTAAGAAGAATTTATTGGTTTCTTTATGAGAGTAGGAAGAAAGGTAAGTAATTGAAGCTGTTTAACTGTCCTCTACCTGTTTTTGCTTCCCTTTTTATGTAGTTATATATTTCAATAACCTTTTAGTGTGGAGAACATGTATAATAAGCTCAATGATAAATTCTGCTGCCTAATTTCCAATACTTTCAAGGTTAGTGATGCAAAGGCATCAAGATAGGGTGCATGTTGAAGCCCAGTAAACCTACCTTGCTGTTTTGTTGGGTCATTACTTAGGATTATATGTCGTCTCAATTTAGTTTCTGTCTTGTCCTTGCTTTCAATTGTTTAATGTTTGTTAGTTTTGAACACTACAGTTATTTGGTCGTTAGCCCTGTTTCTAAATTTCAAATTAGTATGTTTCCTTGAATGTGCTTGAAGGGTAGGAGCTTAGGCTTGGGATGGATTCATTTGTGATTTGCGATCAAGAGTTCAGTTTGATTTTTTTAATTTTCTCATTTTCTAGTTTTTTTTTCCTTTATTTCTTGATCTAGTGCATCAGTCGCTCAGAATCCCACCCTCCAACTCTTTTTGATTCATTTTGATGGTGAAAATTATTGCTAGGTACATAGTCTCTCATATGGTAAGCTGAGAATCTTCACCACCTTATAAATAATTTTAAGATTATGGTATAAATAAATGTTTCTTTGTACAAGTTAATGAGATGTAGAGTTTTCTCTCTCTATATTGAGTTCACATCCAATCTCCTCTGTTTAATTTTACTTCTGATAAACAACTGAATAGTTTTGTTTGGGAATGAGGTGAAGTAGGCCTATAGACTGATAGTTCAAGGTTAGTTGAAAGGATAAATTAGTTGACTAATTCATTATCATTTCTTTTTATGCTCTGCAAATATCGTTTGTGTTTAGTATCTATTGACATTCATACATACATATATGCATAAATACATGTGTGTATATGTGTCAAGGAGTAAAGTCTGCGTACTTGTCTTCTCTGTTGCATGAAATTATCTCTTACTGGAAGATATTGATATACTGGAAGCTCTCTATTATAATGTGAAATATACAGTTTTTGTGAAGAAACTGTGTTATATACTCTTATCATATCCTATACTGTTCTAAGAGTGCATGTAAATTATTAGGTGTGTATAACGGACATGCATGCTTGAGCATTTACATATATTCATGTTCTGAAATCTTTTTGATAATCTTCGCTGCACTAGCAATTCCTTGTCCAAATATAACAATCTGACGTCTTTTTCCATGCTTGTGGCATGTTAGTGTGAAAATGGGCATATAGCTTGCTCTTCCTGCTGCACCAAAATTATGAACAAATGTCCCTCCTGTTGTTTGCCTATTGGATATAACCGTTGTCGAGCAATTGAGAAAGTTTTAGAATCTATCAAAGTAAAATGTCGAAACACAAAGTACGGGTGCAAAGAAACGACGAGTTTTAGCAAGAAACTTGATCATGCGAAGACATGCCACCATGCACCATGCTCATGCCCCATGTCAGACTGCAATTTTGTTGGTTCTTGTACCCAGTTATACAAACACTTCAGGGATGAACATGAGAATTCATCAGTACAATTTCAGCACAACAAAGTCTTCCAAATTACCTTAAATGTTGATGACACTTCGCTTTTTCTTCAAGAAGAGAAGGATGGTGTCGTATTTATTCTTAACAACAGAATTGACTGTCTGGCGAATTCAATTTCTGTTTGTTGTATTGCACCCTCAACGAAGGAACGGTTCTGTTATGATATTGTGGCAAAATATGGGAGAAGCATCATAACATATCAGTCTTATACAAAGAACATTCAAAGCCGGATTGATAACCAACCTTCATCTAACATCCTTCTACTTCCAGCTTATTCCTTTGGTCATTCTAGGCAACTCAAGTTGAAGATTTGCATAAGGCATCATGGATGAAACAGAAATTAATTTTCAGGAGGGCTATATATATGTAAAAGAAATTATGATCATGTTGATTTGAAGAAACTCTTTTGTAAACAAGTGCTGTGCTTTATCATTTGAAATGTATATTTTATTTTGAACAGGCAGGGAAATGAAAATGACCACATGATAAGTTGAATCTATTATAACATTACTAAGAATAGAAAACAAAATAATATGTTTTTTTCAGTTTAGGAATTGAGAAAATTAACATTTCCCTTTGGAAACTAACGGTTTCGTCCCAAGAGCTGTCTTAAGGCAAAACTAACTGCATGAGATTAGTTGCTGAGACAAAAAAACACAGACTGAAGAGACTACGGTACTCCCAAATACCTTTCCAAATTAAATAAAATAGGATAATAGCTTAAGTAAACCCCATACTTTTCACAAAAACACTCACTAGTTTTGAAAATGCGAGCCTAACCCCCGTTCTGATAAGTTTTTTTTTTTTTTTTTCGTTTAATTAACTGTTTTAAAGGTTATATTGATGTTTTCAAATGTCTACAAGGGTATTATAGACTTTTTCATACCCTGAACTTCTTGACTGCCCCATTTGCTTTTAGCCCTTGACCATCGTGTATTTCAGGTCACTTTATGTTTGATGCTTGAATGATATTTCAGGGTGAGGATCAAGGGCATACAGTTTGGTCTCTTTGCTGCAGCCAATGGATTGAATCTTCTGCCTGCATTTTGCCTGTTGTATATATCTGCTGCAGGGCGATTGAGAAAGTTTTATAATCTAAGTAAGATGCCCTAACACAAAGTATGGCTGCAATATTCGAAACAATGCTTCACTCAACTGACATGTAGAATTGGGCACTTAACCTGCTTTAATTTTGTATGCTTGTATGGCGATTGATCAGTGTATGATTATGTTCAATCCCATTAGTGACGTCTAATACGTGCTATTTTGATGGCCTTTAATTTTGTGTGGTTGCATGGTAATTGAACAGTGTGTAAATAGACACTTAACCAGCTCTATCTGCTGCGCAGACCCCGCATTCAATAAGAGATGTCACTCCTGCAGTTTGCCTATTGGTATGAACCGGTGCAATGTGATTGAGAAAGTTTTGGACTGTGTCAAAGTTGTTTGCCAAAACAAAAATATAGGTAAAAAGAAAAAGTCCCTTACTGCAAGAAAATTGATCATGAGAAAAAAAAGCCTACATAAACCATGTTCTTGTCCCCTTTCAGTTTGCAAGTCCAGCAGTTTATCCAGTGTCCAGTGAGTTATACCAATACTTCTGTGATAATCATAAAAGTTCAGCGATTCACTTTCTGTACGATAAGGACTTTGTGATAAACTTAAAGTTCAATGACATATCCATATCCTTCAAGAGGAGAAAGATAGTGTCCTATTTACTCTGAATAGCAGTAATGAGCTTCATGGAAATTTGAAGTAGTGTAATTTAGCTAAGTTGCATTGCGGCTTCACGCCTTCACGGAAGAGAGATTTTACTTCCCATTCTCGAGCAGCATGCGAAGGTTACAGGATAAGAAAAAGAATGCACCCAATGAACATTCAGAACAGGATGGATAAGCCTCTACTCAGACACTCTTGAACCACCATCGTTTTCTTTTCTTAGTACTACTGAGCTCAAGTTGAAAATATGCATCGGTATATTGATTGTATATTCATACCAATTTTTTATTTTTTTTATTTTGTTGGTTGTGTTTCAATTTCTTTAATAATACTATACTTACAAAGAAATTTTACAAAGATTTTTATATGGCAAAAAATGAATGAAAAAGTAAAACAAAAAATCAAACTTATTAAATTCATTCATTCATTTTTTACCACATTATTTTGTATAGAGATCTTTGTAAAATTATTCTAATTTCTTAAGACAATTATAATGACCTTTTTTTATAATCATTTCCATGTAAATTATTTTTTAAAGTTCTTTTAAAAAAATCATATTTATTTAATTTTATTTTTTTCATAAACCATTTAATTAGTTTTATTATTTTAAAATAATAAAACTCCAATATAAATCATATCTAATATTCGAGCAATATTTAAAGTAACTTCCGAACGTGCCTTGAACAGGAGGGTTACTATTTCTATTTTCTTTAGTTTGGAAACTGACAAGCGGGTCCCATAGAATTGGAAAATACTCAGTCCGTCCTGGTTACGTTGGGCGCGGAAAGAGTGACATAAGACAAATCCAAATGTTTACGTATATTCTCTACTTAGTTCCTCTTAGGAAAAATAAATCTTTTATATGCAAAGATCTCCTGGGCTTCGTTTGGTTGGATTTTGGGAATATTACTTTTAGTATTCCTAAAAAAGTTAAATAGTAAAATACCCAAAAACTCACAATATTATTCAACTTTATTCAACATTTTTTAAACCCTCTAAATTTGTTAATTCAATTAAATACCCGTAAATATTTTTAATATTTTTGTTACGGCGACTCCGGCCACCCGTCCGACGGTGGTGGCCGACTGTCCGTATTTGAGGGTAGATTGAGGGTGTTTTTGTTAACTTTTAATGTTTTATTATAAGGGGTGTTTTGTAAAAAAACAAACATAGGAGATATTTTAAAATTTGTAAATCCTACATCGTAATACCCGTCCAATTCAACTTTTTTTTTTAACTTTTTTCAAAAAACTTTTTTCAAAAACACAAAATTATGAACCAAACGGAGCCCTGGATGTTCAGTTTTCAAAGAATTTGTCTTGTAATAGAAGAGATAATAACATTTTCATCCCTATAGTTTGGAGAAACTAACTCGGGTCCATAAAATGGGAAAGACTCTGCAGTCCTGGTGACGAGCTTCGGACGGTGAGATAGTGACGTAAGACAAATCCAACTGTTGGCATATCAGAGATATTCTCCACTTACATACTCAAACATCAAATCCCAACCCTACTTTATCTCTCTCCTCTGCTTGTTAAACTGAACAGAAACACACTTCTATATAAGAAAAATAATCCTGTCTTACAAAAAACAAAATAAAAGGAACCCCTAAATTTTTTAATCAAGTTCTTTCATTTCTAGCCATGTGATTGCATCGGATTTTCCACTCTCTTGATCTCCTTCAAAGAACCTTGTTTTTGTGGCGGGGTTGTTAGAAAATCCAAGTGGGTTTGCTTGACATCAGGTAAAGTGTTTTTTTTTTTTCTTTCTCTGTGTGTGTTTTCTATCTATGCTTAAAAGTCTTCTCTTTGTTTTTTCATTTTTGAAATAGAACATAATTGTGAAGAAAATATATCAATTAAAGTTAAAATGGAAATTCTTTTCACATTCAATAAAATGTTTTGTAAAAACATGTTGTCTTTATTGCACGAATATTTATTTTAAAAAACCTTTGTGGATTGGTTGAAATCAGTAAAGTTATGAACTTCTTTGAGTTTTTTCTTGTTCTGTGTTAATATTTTATTTTCTTATGTATTGTGAAATAAAAGTCCGATTTTCTGTGTCTGAAGTTGGATGAAAATTTCTATGTTAGATGAAATGGACCGACCCTTTACGTGTTTCATTGATTCTCTGTCTTCCTCACTTTTCGTATATTATCTGCCATGAAAAGAAAAAATAAGAACTTAATCGATTTGTATTGAAGATTAATTGATTTTGGGAGATGAAATATAAATCGCTGGACTTATACTTTATCAACCCCAGAATCTTGAGAAACTCTCCAAACCGAACAAATTGACTACCAATTCAAGGGGGTGTTTTTTAACCAATAAAAACAAAAACAAAAAAATAAAAACAAAAATTCAAGGGTGTTTTGGTGATCACATCAAGTTGAGCAATCTGCCATTTTTTTTTCAATTGTTTGCTTGATTTTCATTCTGCTCTTTTTGGACCGATGGTAGCTTCAGCTGAGTTGGTAATCACTTCGCGGTTATTATTTTTTATTTGTTGCTTCAATTGCTAATTTATGAATCATTTATGAAGAAACTCTCTATGATATAACAATTGAGAATAATGCATGGTTTTAAATAGAGTAGAGAACAAGAAATGGAAAAAATCTCAAGTGGTAAATTAGGAGATGGAGGACAAAGAAGCAGCAAGCGTCCTAGGAGATCGAGGAGTGCAAGTCAACCTCGAATCAACTACCGAGAAGAAAATTCTGAGGAAGAAGAGGATCCTGCGGAAGATGAAGAAAGTGCAACAGATGAACAGACAAATGAACCACAAGGACACGAAGAAAGAGATGAAATTTGTTGTGCAAGAAGTGTGGCTCAACAGCTGGGAGCAGGACTTTCCAAAAATGGTCCCGTTTCTTGGATCGTGTCCGACCCTGAACTTCTTGATTGCCCCATTTGCTTCGAGCCCTTGACCAGTCGTGTATTTCAGGTAATTCGGTTTTCCCTCAATTATTGGTGCGGCACTATTTCATTTTTCTGTAGTAATAATTTAGTAGTTCTTAGTTCTTACTGTATGTTTGATGCATGAATGATAATTGATTCAGTGTGAAGATGGGCACATAGTTTGCTCTCTTTGTTGTACTCGATTGGGAAGATGTTCTACCTGCCCTTTGCCTGTTGGAAATATCCGCTGCAGGGCGATTGAGAAAGTTTTAGAATCTGTCAAAGTAAGATGCCCAAACACAAACTTGTTTCGTTACAGCCTCCAGAAGGATCATGAGCAGACATGCCAGCATGTACCTTGTTCGTGCCCTCTTTCACACTGCAACTTCATCAGTACATCCACCAAGTTATACCAACATTTCAGTGAGAAGCATCAGAATTCAGCTGTACACTTCATGTACAACAGAGTCCTAAACATTGTCTTGAATGTCGATAACACGTTTATTGTCCTTCAAGAAGAGAAATATGGTGACCTTTTCATTCTCAACAATATGATTGAACTCCGTGGGAATGTAATATCTGTTACTTATATTGCTCCTCCGGCAAGGAAGGAGAGTCTCGTATACGATCTCATGGCAAGGTCTGGTGGAATCTCCCGCAGATTCCAGTCATTAGCAAAGACCATTCAGAAGGGGGATGATAATATACCTGCTTTGGAAGAGAGTCTTCTGGTACCAGCTGACATGTTTGGTTATTATGGGCAGCTCAAATTGCAAATTCTCATATCCAAGTCAAGGAATTAATAGCTAAGCTTATGTATTTTGTAAGGATCTGGAGCTTTATATTTTGTCTAAATTAAACTGGAAGTCTAGTTTTCCAGTTAATTATAGGTTAACATGTTCAGTGTTGGAGACAATTGGCAGCTGGTCAACTAATCAAGTAATATGCTGGAAAATATTTTGGTTACTTCTTGTCTTTCCTGGTCAATGTTGAAGAAACATAAATATAAATGTTATTAAGTGTTTTTGATATTGTGTTAAACATTGGGATTAAAATCCCAACCTAATGGGGTACTTTTTTGAATGTAATATTTGTTACGTTGATCCGGAAATATAGAATTGTACAAATATTAACTGTAATATCAATAATAACTGTGACATAATATGAAGGATATTTCAATTCTTTATCTTGACGAATTAATTTGTCCCATAGCTGTGGTCTTGTGTTAATTCACAAGTTGGGCCGGATAACAATGGTCTTTTCGGCATACTCTTCTCTTATTACTCTACTCTTATTATCTTATCCTATTATTCTATAATAAAAAATGCTTTTGATTTAATATTCTTCAACATCCAATTTTATTCTATTCAATTTAAAACATTAACATTCTCAATAAAAGTTTTAAAATTAACAAAAATGTCCTATCCATCCAAACTACTATCATCCGCCAACAGTCAACGTCGATTGACGATACACGATTAGAGATGGCAATGGGCCCGAAATTTTCGGGTACCCGGCCCGGCCCGGCCCGAAAGGGGCGGGCTTTACCCGAGGTTGGCGGGCTTGGGCCTGGACCTGGGCTTGATTTTAAGGCCCGACCTCGGGTACGGGCCGAGCATGGGTATATCTTTAGGCCCGGCCCGTCTTGAAAATTTTAGTATTAATTTTACTAATTTACCCTTATACTATATATTTAATTACAATATTATCCTATATATATATATCCATTTTTCCCAAACCCTAACCTCAATTTTCATCCCATATTAAAGGTTTAACATGTTAAAATTGCCTTTAAATGAGTTAGATGGGTTTAGTTCAACTTATTAAAGTGGATTTCACCATAACATATTATGCACAGCTGAAAAGTTAGTATAATCAACTATTATAGAGTTTTAATTGCTCACTTATTGCTTAAATTATTTGTGGAAATAACTTCAATTAATATTTAAAAACCATTTCTAAAATTAAAAATATAAAAAAATTTGAAATTTATTAATATTTAAAAATAAACATTATTAAAAAAGGCGGGCTTGGGCCGGGCCTGCGGTTATAAAAAACCCGTCGGGCCGGGCTTGGGCTTTGCCTATCATACCCGTAGCGGGCTCGGGCCGGGCTTGGGCCTGTGTCATGAGGTCGGGCTTGGGCCTGGGCCAAGGGGTACCCGGCCCAGGCCCGGCCCATTGCCATCACTATACACGATCGACTGAATCTGGGTAATTGTGTGTCAATCTATCTATTCCCGGCTGGATCTACTGTCAAATTTTCACAATTGCTTTGAACGAAATGACATCACTAGTTCACCGTTCACGAGCCCAACGTATGCAGGTTCACAACTTGAGTAAGTTCGAATTACAAGAGTGGAACCTCTGGCTGTTGCTCGAATATCGGATATGAACTCTGTCATCCATGGAGGCGCAATACAATTAATGAAATTACACTTCTAAGAAGTTCATTACTGTTGTTTAGAATAAACAAGACACCATCTTTATTCTTGAAGAATAAGGATTCTGTCATTGAATTTAAGTGAGTAGAAAACAAACCCATACAGGAAAGAACTTGTGGGTCGGTTCGGATCACAGAATGAGACCACTGTTACAAGGTTCCACCAGATGATAAACCTTCTCTCTGCTGCCTCGATTATTATTATTTACTTCATAAACTTCTTCTCTGACGTTGGTTTGAGGTGGATAATCCATTCAGAAGAGGGATGATAGTATTCTTTGCTGTTTATGACCAGATGATAGTTCAATTTAACTCAACTCAAAGCTTATTTATGGATGTCTGGAATTTTAAGGCATTTTCATAATTAATGCATCATGTTTGTAATGTACGTATTCAATCTTCATTAAAAATTTTTTTTTTTCAAATAAATGGTATATATTACCTTCAACAAAGCTACGGACACCGATTATTTTATACCAAAAATATGCACCGGCCTATGTGTACCCCTGACTCACACCAGCAGTCCAGACACCTGATTTTTCTATAAATATTTTTCTAGTGAATAGCCGTCCATCAATTATGGACGGCCATTCACTTACATGGACTCTCGTCTATATTATATATACGGACGTATCTATTTAAAGGACGCTCGTCCATAAAAAAAATAGAATAATTTTTTTTATAAAATTAGGGACGATCGTTCATCAGTTATGGACGATTGTCCCTTCATTTTAGACGAACGTCCACAAATAAGGGACGTCCGTTCTTAATTAAAATATGAAAATTAAAAAAAAAAAAAAACTTTGGGATGCGCATCCATAAATTTTAGACGGCCGCCTTATGTTTGGACGGATACTTTAAAAAAAAAAAAAAAAAAAATTCTAAACACATCTTCTTCGTCTTCATTCCCCATCTCCTCTCTTCTTCTTGTCCAGTGTTATTCTAAGAGTAATGCAGATAGTAACCTGACAGGATCAAGGGGAAAGAAGAAGAGGAGATGGTTACGTTTACTGTTAAGTGGTTTGTGTATTTCCTTCTTTCATCCCATTCTTCCATTTCTCTCCACATCCCTCTTTACCCTCTTCTTTCTAGTTACAAGATGGTACATGACTTGTTCATGGCAGTCTTCAATTTCTGTAGCAGGTGATAGAGAAGTTTTTATGCTTGGTGGATCCAACCATGGCGTATTAAGTGATCCTGAGAAGATGAGCCCTGCAAAGCCTTTATCTGGTAATACATTTTGATATCAAAAACTGTCATGAACCTGCTTGATAATTTGGATAATAAAAAGTGATTATTCATCTACATTTCTAATTTATGTATTCAGTAAACTACTTCAGTTTGATAATTGAAATCTTTATGGTCAAATGGACAATATTATCTTTACATTTACATTTGGTTATGATTGTAGTACACATAGTGATATATCTGTTGTTTTGTGCTCCAGAAAATTCGAACGAAGCTGCTCTTGAGAAAGTATCTGGTCTTGACGACGCGAAAGTTGTTCAAATTGCTGCTGGAGCTGAGCACTCTGCATTAGTAACAGGCAAGTTTCTGCAATCTTTTTTTATCTACTTACTTTTTTTCTCTTGCTCATCTGTTTTCACTTCTCAATGCCATTGCAGATAATGGAATAATTATGACATGGGGTTGGGGTGAACACGGTCAACTTGGCTTGGGAAACACTAGTGATCAAACCCAAGGCAGTAAGTCTGGATGATGAAGTCCAGAGCAATGATGCTTCGTTCCAAGTCTACTGTGGGAGTGGGTTCACATATTATCTGCATTACTCTTAGAATAACACTGGACAAGAAGAAGAGAGGAGATGGGGAATGAAGACAAAGAAAAAGAGAGGAGATGAGGAATGAAGACGAAGAAGAAGAAGAAGAGCGAAGAAGAAAGGTGTTTATAAATTTTTTTTTTTTTTTTTTTTTTAAAGTATGGACAAATGGATGGTTGTCCCCAAAGTTTGTTTATTTTTATATTTTAATTAAGTACAGGCATCCCTTATTTGCAAGCGTCTGTCCAAAATAAAGGGACGATTGTCCTTAATTTTTATAGAAAAATTTTATTCCATTTTTCTTATGGACGGGCGTCCTTTAAATGGGGACGCCTGTCCGTAGTAAATGGACTCCGTCCATATAATATGAATGAGAGTTCATAGAAAAATCAGGTGTCTGTACTACTGGTGTGAGTCAGGGGTACACGTAAACTGATATACATTTTTGGTGCAAAATAATCAAGTGTCCGTAGCTTTGTTATATTGCCTTAGTTATACCATAACAAGTTGTTATGATATAACTGAGGCAATATATAGCATTTTTGGTTTCAAAAATTTGGAATTAGGAATTTTCGAGTCAGGTTTTGGTTCCCGTAGTGTTGGAACCAAGAATCTAAACTAAGGTCTAGGTATCAGGATATGAACTAGGACTAAATTGTTATTTGTAAACTATTGGGGGTTTATTTGTTATTTTTCAAAAAGTTGGGGGTAATTTAAACTGGAAACGGAACCCATGTTTTAGGTTTTGATTCTAGTTTCAAATCTTAGAAATCGATCGGTTTTAATTTCGATTCCTTAAAAAGATCCAAGGTACTTGGAACCGATCACCTATGAATACTAACTAATTAAAAATTGATTTATAATTCGATGAATCAATGGCACTTATCATTGGTTCATCAGGTTAGTTATAAGAACTGAACAAATCGTAATTAACTTTGATATGATAAAAAGTAATTAGGTGGTTATAATCAAATTAATTTATATAAACAAATTGCGTCGCTTTTAGATAATTAAATTCAAGAACTTTTAACTAATTAAATTTTGTTTTGATATGACATCACATTGAAAGTTTTGATCTGCTTGCCTCATAAATTTATAAAATACTAATAATAATAATAAGGCTCTTAATCAATAATCCATTGTTTCTAAAGCTTAAAGATCGATCTAACTTTGATGATTAAATTAGTTTATAAGGTTAATTAATATTTGGTGAGATGTTTTCATGGGATAAACAAATATTCAAGTTGATCAAAACTAAAAGTTGGGGTTCATTGTAATATTTGGAATTCTAATCGACATTAAGGATAGGGAAAGACATCCTATGAATTTACAAGGATTAATTGAACGTTATTCAGTACTTTAACAAAATCACACATAAAATTCTTAATGAATCATCACTTCATTCATTAATAATATACAATGTATTTAAGTAAAATTTCATTGAATCTAGAGAATTAATTGAATAAATAAATAGTGATTGTATCAACGGAATACTAAGAAATTAAATTTATTTGAGGGATAATTAGTAAAAGTGAAGAGTGTGTATATATATATATATATATATTGAGGAAAAAAGAGAGATTAAGAAAGGGAGAGAGTATCATATTCATTTGTATCAGATGGAGTATTTTCAAGCAACGTGCTTTACAAGCATCCAAAGCAAAAAGGCAACACAGTATCTTCAAACCAACTTAAGAGAAAAAACTCATGGAGAAGATGAAACAGTGGAAAGCCGTTATTGTAATGAAGAAGTGAACAATGCTGAAGAAGAGGTAGAACATGAACAGCCAATAGAAGAAGAACAACAACATCAAGAATCAGGTCAAAATAGAGAACATGAACAGCCGATAGAAGAAGAACAACATCAAGGAACAGCCCGAAGTTCCGGATTAGGCGATGGGCTTGATTTTGTTTCCTGGAACGTCTCTGACCCAGAAGTTCTTGACTGCCAGTTTGCTGTGAACCTTTGACCATTCCCGTCTATCAGGTAAGTTGTTTTCTTCCCAAATTCTTTTCCAATTTAAATGTATATTTAACACAATTATTTTAATTAAAAAGTACTTTATTCAGTGTAAAAATGGGCATATTGCTTGTGAATCCTGCTGCAAAGGAATGAGTAGATGTGCCTACTGCTCTTCGATTATTGGGTACGATCGTTGCAGAGCCATTGAGAAGGTTTTAGAATGTGTACAGATTAAGTGCCAAAACGTAGAATACGGGTGCCAAGAGAGGATGAATTACAGCAAGAAACGTGATCACGAGAATAACTCCCGCCATGTACCATGTTCATGCCCCCTTCCAGATTGCAACTTCATCGGCACAAGCATCAACTTATACCGACACTGCAGTCTCAGGCATAAGGAAGCAGCTGTTCAGTTCACTTACAAAAGAATTATACACATCACATTACATATTGAACAAAAATTTGTGGTTCTGCAAGAAGAGAGACGTGGCGACGTATTTATTCTGAACCATAGGGCTGAACGTAATAGGATTGGGCATGCAATTTCTGTTCGTCATATTGCCCCCACATGCAAACAGCCAATCTTCTACAGTATTTTAACAAAACCAGGAGGAAGCAACCTTAGATTTCAATCTTCTACAAAGAACATTCAGAAACTGTCTGATAAACCTCCTTTGACAGAGGAATTCTTAATACCAGCTTCAAGCTTTGGTTATTATAGGCAGCTGAAGTTGGATATCCGCATTGGGCGTTAAATATGATAAGTTCTGATATATGCAGAATTAGGTAGTATTATGGTTGTGATAATAAAAGATCATATAGCCACAGAGGATAGTTGGAATTGCTTAATTGATTATCATATATTGTACTCTTGAATCTTTATGCTTATTAGAATATGGTTTCTATTTCGGAAAATCATTTTGAGTCACTTGCTCTTTGATTGGTGATCATATATGGTAATTGTAATAGTATTTCATCCAACGTCCATCAAATCCACAAATGAAATGTTTTCTGATGTCCCCAAATAATGTTCTTTGCTGTTTATGACCACTCAAATGATAATTTCATTTAACTCAAACCAAAGCTTATCTAATATTTATGGACCTCTGGAATTTTAAGGCATTTTCGTAATTAATGCATCATGTTTGTAATGTACGTACTGAATCTTTATTAAAATTATTATTTTCCAATAAATGGTAATATTGCCTCAGTTATACCATTCTAGGTTTTGAAAAATTGGAATTGGAAATTCCTGGATCTGCTTTCAGTTTCGGTTCCAGGAACAAAATCGAGGTCCGAGTACTTGGATAAGAACCGAAACTGAATTATAATTTTTGTAAACTATTAGAAGTGTATTTATAATTTTTGGAGGCTGTATTTTTATTTTTTTAAAAGTAGGAGTAATAGAATTAACCCAGGTACCTTAAACCAATCACCTTTAATAACAACAAATACTAAATATTTAAAAATTGATTTATAATTCGATGCATCGACGGCACTTATCATTGGTTCAATGGGTTAATAATAAGAACTAAACAAATCGTAAATAAACTAGATATGGTAAAAAATAATTAGGTGCTTATAATCAAATTTATATAAACAAATTGCTTTGGCTTTTAGATAATTAAATTCAAGAACTTTTAACTAATTAAATTTTGTTTTGATATGACATCACATTGAAAGTTTTGATCTGCTTGCCTCATAAATTTATAAAATAATAATAATAAGGCTCTTAATCAATAATCCATTGTTTCTAAAGCTTAAAGATCGATCTAACTTTGATGATTAAATTAGTTTATAAGATTAATCAATATTTGGTGAGATGTTTTCATGGGATAAACAAATATTCAAATTGATCAACATTGAAAGTTAGGGTTCATTGTAATATTTGGAATTCTGATAGACATTGAGGATAGGGAAAGACATCCAATGAATTAGAAAGATTAATTGAATGTTTTCAATACTTTAACAAATCACCCATAAAATTCTTAATGAATCATCACTTCATTAATTTAATATGAACCAACACTTCATTAATAATATACATTCATTAATAATATACAATGTATTTAACTAAAATTTCATTGAATCTAGAAAATTAATTGAATAAATAATAGTGATTATATCAACGGAATACTAAGAATTTATTTTTATTTGAGGGATAATTAGTAAAAGTGAAGTATATATGTTTCAGATCGTAATTATTAAGAACAGTGGACCAACAAGACGATTAACGAACAGAATGGAAAATTCCTCTGCAGTGAGTTAGGAGAAGGAAAAAGGAGGGATCATCAAGTAGCGAGGAGAGAGGAGACTTTCGAAGTAAACGTTATGAAGAAGACCAGGACAATATTGAAGCAGATGAAGCTGTAGCAGGAAATGTTGGCAAAAGAAAGGTGGAGGGACCTTTCCCAATGGCTCCGTTTCGTGACCGTATCAGACCCAGACTTCCTTGATTGTCCTCTTGTTATGAGCTCTTAACCTTCTCCTGTATTTCAGGTTTGTTAATCTTCTAAATTTAAGTTTCTTTTATGAGATTTTACATTTGGGAATTACCATGAGATTGAATTTTTGCTTTTGAATGATTGCTGTCAACGCACTTCAGTGGGCGAAAACGGACATGTAGTTTGCTCTACTTGTTGCGCCAGCACTAAACTGAAGAAGAAATGCCCATCTTGTAGTTTCCCGATCGGATTTAAACGTTGTAGGGCCATTGAGAGAGTTCTAGAATCTGTCAAAATAATATCTCAGTACAAAAAGAACGGGGCAAAATAACAAAGATGATCGTTGACAGAATGAAATTCATCACAATCTCCATCTTCAGTTTTTGGATCAGGAAGAGTAATACATATCAATCAAGGAGAAGAATTTAAATTAGGGTTTACTGAAGTTCTTAATATTTTTGATAGCTGTAAAACCATACAAGCAATTACTATATATGAAGAAGAATTGTTTTTAATTTCAAACTCCATTTATT